GTCTGNAGAGAAGAGGGAGAGATGGAGAGAGAGACGAGAGAGAGAGGAGAGAGAGAGAAAACATAACCACACCACACACACTAGACGTACAGTCAGACTGACACACACATCAAACAGACAAACACACACAGAAACACGGAGGGCAACAACAGACGAAACACAAAAACAGGAAATACAACAGACGAAAGACATACCAGAAACACGGACGAACAGAAAACAACGAAACAGACACATACAGAAACACGGACGAAGACAGACCAACACCGGTACGAACAAACAGACAGACACATACAGAAACACGGAAGAACAGACGAACAAACAAACAGACGAAACAGACAGAACATACGGACAACAGACAGACAGAGAGTGTGTGTGTATGTGTGTGTGTATGTATGTGTACATGTATATACGTATGTGCGTGCGACCCCCCCACAACCCCGCTTGACCTCGTCTCGTAAAAAAAAAAAAAAAAAATCCAATAGCAAGATTAAATTTGTTGCTCAGCTGTATATCATGACTCCTTTTTTATATATATATATATACGTGTAAATGTCAATTTTCCATTGAGCTATGAGAGTTTACGCACAATTGGTGATCTATACCGGGCTGTGGGAATGCAGTGGGTCGAGTTTTATCTGTTAGTTGAAATACGTTTGAATATTGCTTCCTCGCTTGCTGGCCGACGCACACGCCCGTGCTCGTGTACACATGCTCACAGACGAGCAGAGAGGCAGACACAGATAAAGGCGTGTACATAGATAGAGATAGGGTAGACGGTTGCATGCGCACGCATACATACGCGCGCACTCGCACGCACACACAGATACACACAGACACACACACGAGAGATAGATAGATAGACAGATAGACAAATTATATATATATAATATATAATATATATATATATATATATATATATATATATATATATATATAGAGAGAGAGAGAGAGGAGAGAGAGAGAGAGAGAGAGAGAGAGAGAGAGGAGAGAGAGCGAGCGAGAGAGAAACAATATACACACACACCTAGACGTACAGTCAGACTGACACACACACATACAAACAGACAGAGACACACACAAACACGGGACGGGCTGACGAACAGACAAAACAGACTAACAGACGAACATGCAGACACAGAAACACGGACGGGCTGACAAACAGACGAACAGACATGCAAACAGACAGACACAGAAAACACGGACGAACAGACGAACAAACAGACAGACAGACACAGAAACACGGACGGGCTGGCGAACAGACAAACAAACAGACAGACATACATACAAACAGACGAACAGACAAACAAACAGACAGACAGACACATACGGACGGGCTGACAAACAGACAAACAGACGAACAGACAGACAGACAGACAGACAGACAGGACGAACAGACATGCAAACAGCCAGCCGAGAGACGACCCCGCTCGGCCCGCTGTGCATCTGGCCTGAGCTGTCCTCCTCCTCCTCCTCTCCTCCTCCTCCTCCTCCTCCTCCCTCCTCCTCCTCCTCCTCCTCCTCCTCCTCCTCCTTCTCCTCCTCCTCCTCCTCCTCCTCTCCTCCTTCTCCTCCTTCTCCTCCTCCTCTGAGACCACAATATTTCTCTCCTTTATTAAATATTGATCCAACTCACTTTGCAAAACTTTGGCGATAAATAAAGTGGTGCGGGGCGGCTTGGCTCGGCCCGTGGGTGCAGGAGGGCGAAGAGAGAGAGGGAGAGGGAGGGAGGGAGAGGGAGGGAGGGAGGGAGAGGGAGGGAGGGAGAGAGGGAGAGGGAAGGGAGAGAGGGAGGGAGAGGGGAGAGAGAGGGAGGGAAGGGAGGGAGGAGAGAGAGAGAGAGGGAGGGAGGAGGAGGGAGGGAGAGGGAGAAGAGGGAGAGAGGGAAGGAGGGAGGGAGGGAGGGAGGGAGGGAAGGAGGGAGGGAGAGGGAGAGGGAGGGAGGGAGAGGGGAGGGAGGAGGAGGGGGAGAAGGAGGGAGGGAGAGGAGAAGGGGGAGGGAGAGAGGAGAGGGAGGAGAGGGAGGGAGGGAGGGAGAGGGAGAAGGAGGGAGGAGAAGGGAGGGAGGAGGGAGAGGGAGAAGGAGGGAGGGAGAGGGAGAAGGAGAGGGAGAGGAAGGGGGAGGGAGGGAGGGAGAGAGAGAGGGAGGGAGAGGGAAAGGAGGAGAGAGGGAGGAGGGAGGGAGAGGGAGGGAGGGAAGGGAGGGAGAGGGAGGAGGGGAGGGAGGAGAGAGAGGGAGAGGGAGTGAGGAGAGGGGAGAGGAGAGGAGAGGAGGGAGAGAGGGAGAGGGAGGGAGGAGAGAGGGAGAGGGAGGGAGAGGAGAGAGAGGAGGGAGGGAGAGAGGGAAGATAGAACGAGAACAGAGAACGAAAACGAGAGAGAAAAAAGAGAGAGAGAGAGATCTAGGGTACGATTTCCTCACGTTGTTGACCTCCCTTCTGGAAGTTTGACCTATTCTGACCTCCCTTCTGCTCACCCTCTACCTTCTGGATGCCTGACCTCCCTTTCTGGATGCCTGACCTCCCTTCTGAACCTATTTCTGACCTCCCTTCTGGATGCTCGACCTATTCTGACCTCCCTTCTGGATGCTCGACCTATTCTGACCTCCCTTCTGGATGTTGACCTATTCTGACCTATTGTTTGACCTATTCTGACCTCCCTTCTGGATGCCTGACCTATTTTGACCTCCCTTCTGGATACCTATTCTGACCTCCCTTCTGGATGCTCTGACCCTATTCTGACCTCACCTCTGGATGCTTGACCTATCTGACCTCCCTCTGGATGCCTGACCTATTCTGACCTCCCTTCTGGATGCTCGACCTATTACTGACCTCCCTTCCTGGATGACCGACCTCCCTTCTGGATGCTCTATTCTGACCTCCCTTCTGGATGCCGACCTATTCTACTCCCTTCTGAGATGCTCGACCTCTGACCTCCCTTCTGGATGCTCGAACCTATTCTGTCCCTTCTGGATGCCTGACCTATTCTGACCTCCCTTCTGGATGCCTGACCTATTCTGACCTCCCTTCTGGAACCTATTTTGACCTCCCTTCTGGATGTTTGACCTATTCTGACCTCCCTTTCTGGATGCGACCTATTCTGACCTCCCTTCTGGATGCCTGACCTATTTTGACCTCCTTCTGGACCTGACCTATTTTGACCTCCCTTCTGGATGCTCGACCTATTTGACCTCCCTTCTGGATGCTCGACCTATTCTGACCTCCCTTCTGGATGCTCGACCTATTCTGACCTCCCTTCTGGATGCTTGACCTATTCTGACCTCCTATGCCGATCTACTGACTCCCTCTGGATGCTGACCTATTCTGACCTCCTTTCTGGATGCCTGACCTATTCTGACCTCCCTTCTGGATGCCGAACCTATTCTGACCTCCTTCTGGATGCTCGACCTATCTGACCTCCCTTCTGGATGCTGAACCTATTCTGACCTCCCTTCTGGATGCCTGACCTATTCTGACTTCCCTTCTGGATGCCTGACCTATTCTGACCTCCTTCTTTGACCTGGATGCTTTCTGGATGCCTCCTATTCTGACCCTCCCTTTCTGGATGCTGACCTGACCCTCCCTTCTGATGACCTTCTGACCTCCCTTCTGGATGCCTGACCTATTCTGACCTCCCTTCTGGATGCCTGACCTATTCTGACCTCCCTTCTGGATGCCTGACCTATTCTGACCTCCCTTCTGGATCCTCCCTGACATGCCTGACCTATTCTGACTATGCCTGACCTATTCTGACCTCCCTTCTGGATGCCTGACCTATTCTGACCTCCCTGAACCTATTCTGACCTCCCTTCTGGATGCTCGACCTATTCTGACCTCCCTTGGATGCCTGACCTATTCTGACCTCCCTTCTGGATGCCTGACCTATTCTGACCTCCCTTCTGGATGCCTGACCTATTCTGACCTCCCTTCTGGATGCCTGACCTATTCTGACCTCCCTTCTGGATGCCTGACCTATTCTGACCTCCCTTCTGGATGCCTGACCTATTCTGACCTCCCTTCTGGATGCTCGACCTATTCTGACCTCCCTTCTGGATGCTTGACCTATTCTGACCTATGCCTGACCTATTCTGACCTCCTTCTGGATGCCTGACGACTATGGACCTATTCTGACCTCCCTGAATGCTGACCTATCTGACCTCCCTTCTGGATGCTTGACCTATTCTGACCTCCCTTCTGGATGACCTATTTTGACCTCCCTTCTGGATGCCTGACCTATTTTGACCTCTCTTCTGGATGCTTGACCTCTCTTCTGGATGTTTGACCTATTCTCTTGTGTTTTTTTCGTTTTCCTTCCCATGGGGTTGTTTACTGCCATTTCTCTCTTCACTAATCTCTTCTTGCTAAATCCTCCTTTAGTTTGTCTTTGCTTTGGTTTATTTCTCTTCTCTTCCGCTTGTTTGTGACCTGTAATGTGACTGTCTCTTATTTTGGCGATCTTGTTTTTTTATGAGTTAACAACGTCAGTTTATAAAAAGATTGAGGAAGAGTTAGATTTATAATTCATAACATGGTGAAGAAGTTTTTCTTTTGCTCGAAACGTTTGAGTGTTTTTTATTATTATTATTGTTTTTTTTGTTTTTTTTTACTTTCCCTTTGTTAGGATTTCTACTTCATTTGACATTTGGTTTCTTATTCTCTTTCTCTCTCTTCTCTCTCTCACCCCTTTTCTCCCTCCCTCCTCTCTCTCTCTCTCTCTCTCTCTCTCTCTCTCTCTCTCTCTCTCTCTCTCTCTCTCTCTCTCTCTCTATCTCTCTCTCTCTCTCTCTCTCTCTCTCTCTCTCTCTCTCTCTCTCTCTCTCTCTCTCTCCCTCCCTCCCTCCCTCCCTCCCTCCCCTCCCTCCCCCTTCCCTCTCCACCCCTCCCCCCTCTCCCTCACTCCCTCTTCTCCCCCTCTCCCTCTCTCTCTCCCTCGCTCTCTCTCTCTCTCTCTCTCTTTTTATTCGACCTGAGATGACCTCGCTGTATATAAAGCTGGCTGTAAGA